CGCACCGAGTACCGAAGACCCCGCGACGTCTTACTCTCCGTGGTGGCCGATTTTCTCACGAAATCCACCGTCCGTCTGGGAGAGCTGGCCAAGAAGATGCCCAGTGATACGAAACCCACCGAGGTCCTAGACGCCAAGTGTCACATCCGTCTGGCGGACATCGCGCACTCCTTGCTAAAGGTGTCGCCCTACGATCCGGAGTCCATGGCCTGCCGGGGTCTGCAACGCTATATGCAGGCGGTACTGCCCCGGGCGGAGTGGTCCAACGATACGTTGCGCAACGCACTGGTCACAATACTGCGGCGCATCGACAAGGTGTTCCTCAAGATATCAAAGAAGCCATCGATCAGGAGGAATACGGACTGGGAGGCGGCCGCCGGACTGCTGAAGGGCATCCACGAGACGATCATACGGCACTCGTACGTGCTGCACTGGCAGCAGATGAAAACGCTCATCAGCACGGTGCAGAATCTGATCGTCAACGAGCCCGGCATTCCCGAGGGCGTCTCCAGCGCAGGAGCAGCGCTCATGTCTCAGAATCCGCCGGCCTTTTTCTGCTCGGCCGTGGTGCGTTTGGTGGCCCTGCAGGTGGTCAGCCCCGTGGACTGTTTCTCCCTGGTCCAGATTTGCGGCGGCAGCGCCGAGTTTGCCACGCAGGAAAAGGCCGAGGGCTTTCTAATGCATCTGATAATGCCACTGTGTCTGAAGGTTTGCTCGGGCCGCGGCGTTTCCGACGTGGGCGAGTTGAAGATGTCGGACGTTTCCTTCCTGCTGACTGCCGTGTTGAATGCGATGAGTCCGCCGGCGGGTCGTACCGGGCAGGCCGTGTCCCAGATAAACCGGGTGACCGGCGACCTACGCGCCGGCTCACTCACCTTCACCGGCAGTCGGGATGCCAAGCGCCCAGCCCGCATCTCCGGGTCCCTCTACCAGGCCGCCTTCTTAGCCCTGCGCATCGTGTGCATCTGCTTCGAGAGCCGGCTCTCCAACGAGTGGCCGCGCATCGTTCGGGTGATGAGGGATCTCGGCAGGCGCAATGAGGCGGCCCCGGATCTCTGGAGCTTTATGGAGTTTGTGGTCACCCACCGAACGCCCCTCTACATTGTCCTGCTGCCCTTCATCCTGCACAAGGTAAGAAACGGGTTCTTATCAATTCGATTCTTTGCTACTTTGCTGACCCCAACGAAGGATTTTGCCTTGGGTGTATGGTCACTGTTGGTGACCCCAAACATATTAACCATCTTTGCAGTAATCGTATTTGAAGGGTTTTGAATGGTTTATACAAGTTGAGCTGAGAGTGGAATGATGAACTATGATATAGAGCGGCAAGGCTTTTTGAGCCTGGGTAACATGAACCCGAGATCCCTTTACTGAATTTCAAGTTATTTAATATTATAATTTTTGTATAATGCATTTCTGTGAGCCGATTATAATATCCTTTGATACCCACATCTGCCCTAGTCAAGTAGTTTCCCGACCTGCACTTCTATGCCTCAAGACTAAACGCAAAAAGCAATTCCTCCTATGACCTTTGACCATTTTGCATATATTCCGAAAATCATTTCAAAATCGAACAACATTAACGATTCATATCTTCCAGATCTCGCAACCACCCATTGGGGATCACGAGCGGCACATGCAGTTCATCATCCGGGAGCGATTGCGCGGAACTCCGCCGCAGGGCGGGATTAAGTCTAAGGGAGCTCTGCTGCTAGAACTGGCCAGGGAGCTGCGGGACCTGCGCGACGAGCTGGAGGAAAAACGCTACGGTAAGGAGCCGGAACGGACGGAATGCCAATCTGTGCTCCACACACCCACTCATGTTTCAGTCTCCACAGATCGCGAGAGTTCCGAGCAGAAGAAGAGCGACACACCGGCGGCAACTAGTGCGGCTGAAGCCCACAAGTCGCAGCAAAGACCTTCACTTATATCTATCTTCACAGGAACCACCACGGGCCAGGCCTCGCACTCCCACGTCTCCGCCGTGCCGATCGACTCGCGCAGCGGATCCGGCGGGATCTGCACGCCCAGCGACACGCTGTCGCAGCAGACGCTGCACCCGCCGCGGGAGTCGCTCTCGAGCAGCTCCACGGGCCGGGATCCGCACACGACGACCAGCGAGAGCCAGAGCGGCGAGGCGGACGCAGGATCGGCGCCCACGCTGGTGGGGCCGACGCCGAGCGGATCGGGACATGGATCGGGCAGTGGTATTGGCACAGGTGCCGCCTCCGCCGTGCCCTCGCATCTCTCGCATTCGCAGTCGTTGCAGCAGGCTCCCTTCAAGGCCCAGCCGCCCAAGCTGCGCTTCGTTTCGTCCGTGGAGTTCCGGCACTCATCCGGAGAGACATCCACCACACCGCTCTCGCCGGAGAGCCCTGCGGAGGACAGTTCCGGAGATCATACTCGCTCACGTCTGCAGCGATCAAAGGCGGCCAGTCGAAAGACCTTCAGGCTCAAGCGCAGTCGCCTGACGCCCATGGAACCACCCAGCATTGTAAGTGGAACAGAAACGTACTCGGCCCTGAAATCTCCATACATACGTTCTTCGCAGGTCACCTCGCAGGAGGAACAGGTCCCGCAGGCGCAGGCAAAGGCCCTGGGGGAGATTTCCTGGGACTCCGTTTCCCAGACATCCTCCACTTCCGGCTATCGGGACAACAACAGCCTGCAGACTGGTCTGCTCTCGCCGGATGGATCCTTGGGTGGCTTGACCCTGGGTCGCTCACCCTCGCAGCACTCGCTCCTGATGGTCTTCGAGGGACAGGACGAGGACACCCTCATTTAACAATCACAGAACGGCGACCGGGCCTACGAACTTTAGAACCCAAGTGGTTCCACTAATTAACAGGAATTTGGAGTAGTCAAACGTGCAAAAGGTAGTTGTTGGGTGTTGAGTTTTATAGATGAATCGTTGTTTTCCATTGTGTGCCATTTTTGTATATGATAGGTAGAGCTAGAAACTAATAAAAGTACTTGGTAGCCGTTCTAATTGATACTCTACTTGTTTATTGATGTTAAGTGCAGGCGATGTAAAAAATTTGAATAAGTTTGATAACATGGCCATCCTCAGCTATCAACAGCTTATCGATAAGTGCCGCCAATCGACATCGAACCTAGAGATGTGATCACTTGTCGTGTTTTTCATAGCACAAAACATGATATTGTTAGTTTTACGTCTATATAAGCAGTTATAGCTGATAGTTATTATGATTTTCACTAGAAAAATTATCTCTTTTTTTTCAAATATTTCTTCACTGATTGATAATTAATTAATTAATAAGAAAAAGTCGTGCGTGAGCGTCATGCGACCATCTCTAGCGGGAGCAGACCCCACTTGTTGTGTGGATCAAATCGGTTGAATCTGCACTTTGGACTTTCTCTTGGAATCTGCGATTGCGAGCACTGTCACCGTTACAGTGGGAATCCAGATCTTAAGGCGAACGGTCTTTAAACTTTGTACAGAATGATCAACACAGGAAAACTAGCAGGACGGACCCTGTTCATCACGGGAGCCTCTCGAGGAATTGGCAAGGAGATTGCTCTAAAGGCGGCCCGCGATGGAGCCAACATTGTGGTGGCGGCCAAGACTGCGGAGCCGCATCCCAAGCTGCCGGGAACCATCTACACGGCAGCGGAGGAGATCGAGAAGGCCGGCGGAAAGGCCTATCCCTGCGTGGTGGATGTCCGCGATGAGCAACAGGTGCGCAACGCCGTGGAGGCCGCGGTGGCCAAGTTCGGTGGCATCGACATTGTGGTTAACAACGCCAGCGCCATCTCGCTGACCAATACCCCGAACACGGACATGAAGCGCTACGACCTGATGCACAACATCAATACTCGTGGCACCTTCCTGGTGTCCAAGGTGTGCCTGCCTTACCTGAAGAAGAGCAACCACGCCCACATTCTCAACATTTCCCCGCCGCTGAGCATGAAGGCCAAGTGGTTTGGACCCCATGTTGCCTATACCATGGCCAAGTACGGAATGTCCATGTGTGTGCTGGGCATGGCGGCCGAGTTCAGGGACCAGGGAATCTCCGTCAACGCACTGTGGCCGCGCACTGCCATCCACACTGCGGCCATCGAGATGCTGACGGGTCCCGACTCAGCGCAGTGGTCACGCAAGCCGGAGATCATGGCCGATGCGGCCTACGCAATCCTGACCCGTGAGCCCAGGCAGTCCACTGGTCAGTTCTTTGTGGACGACGAGGTGCTGGAATCGGCGGGTATCACTGACCTCACTGACTACGCCTGCATCCGCGAGAACGCCGACAAGCTGATGGTGGACTTCTTCGTGGAGGAGAAGGGCGCTCCGGTAGAGACTGACGCTCCGGCGGGAGCTGCTTCTGCTGCTCCGGCGAGTGGAGGAGACGCCAAGATTCCCCAGTTATTCCAGAAAATCGAATCTCTCCTCTCGCCAGAGATTGTCTCGAAGACGCAGGCTGTCTTCCAGTTCAATATCAGCGGTGCCGAGCAGGGAACCTGGTTCCTGGATCTGAAGAACGGCTCCGGATCCTGCGGTGCAGGAACACCACCAGCCGCTCCCGACGCCACACTCACCATGAACTCGAACAACTTCTTCGACATGTTCTCCGGAAGACTGAAGGCGGCTCCCGCCTACATGACCGGCAAGCTGAAGATCAGCGGCGACTTCCAAAAGGCCCTCAAGCTGGAGAAGCTAATGAAGGCCCTTAAGTCCAAGCTGTAGGTGCCACCAAAGGCAGAGTTTTCTATTGTGTACAAGCGTTTCTTTTATGTATGTATTTTCCTAATAAAGTATGAGATTCCTTAGAAATTCAGTAATATGTGGAATTAATTGATTAAATATTACCAAAGTTGTCATAGTGCTAGCTCCACCCTCTTAAAAATGTGGGTATGTAGCTTAATAATTGGGATGGATAATAATCATTCTTTTCATGATATTATTTATTAAATTTTTTGGAATAGCGCGGGCCGCGAGTTCGCAGTTCAAACTTATTCAGACTGACCAGATCTAGTCCATCAAATCGTGGAATTTCCGCACACGACACTGTCCACACTGCCTGAAAAAGAATATCTTGCCGGCCAGGCCATTCGCAAGTCTGCCGTCAAATAATCACATTCTAGAAATAGGTACACTCAATACTGGACGAACATGGCTAGCAGTTCCACCAAGGTGTGTAGCTTCACAGGAAGTCATGCAGTTATTAATCTTTTATAACCTTTTATCGCTAGAACAAAGCGCTGCAGATGATAAGGTGCTTTTGCGGATGCAGTTCCATGACTGTCGCCGAGGTGCGGAGGATCTACACTCTGTCGAACAGTGTGCACGAGACGCTATTGGATAAGGACGCCACCAGACTGCTACGCAAGTTCATGGAGACGAGGCGCTCCGGCGACAAGGACGAGGCCGAGCAGTACCTGGACATTTACGAGAAGTGCGCCGAGTTCCTAGCGGAGCACCAGCGCACGTTCACCCAGGACGAGGTGGACGAACTGATCGATCTGGGCCTGCCCTTCGACCTGGAGCAGGATCTCTCCAGGCGCATGCTCAGCGCCAATCGGACGGATATCAGCAGCGGTCTCTATCGCATCCAGAGCAAATGTCGCAACGAAATCGAGGGCAGTAGCGATTTTCGGGACTTTAGGGATGCCATTGCTGATAAAATGCGCCGGGTGCCAAGATAATATACATACACAAATAATGTTTTTGTGTGCACTGTGCAACGCCAACCAAAGTCACATGGTTACCTTTGAAGTATCGCTCCTCTTTCTACATCTACTTTTCCCAGTGCCTTAGAGCCTTATAAAAATGTAATAAAAACCGCCGTTTAGTCATAGTCTTACAACGAAGACAAGGAAACCGTCCTCCTATCTCATTGTGGATTCCGAATCACGCTAGAGCCTAAGCTCACCAAGCATATACATTCTACTAATCTAATCCCATAGAAAATTGTATTCTATTCAGAAATCAATCTGATGCTGAATGCAACCGACAGTCAAATTGATTATTTCCATTACATTGACATTCGAAAATAATCTGGGCAATTTAAATATACATTTAGCTTTGAGGTCCTATGCAGGGGATTCCAAAAACTCAATCCCGAAACCGTTTACTTACAATTAAATATACTTTGTGTTACATGAATGCTTTATATACGTGTTAAGCTCTACAGCTAGATATATTTCCATTTAAGAAATAAACGTCTTAATACTAAAAACGCTTCGTACGGCTTAGGTTTTCTTCCACGAGTAATACATTTCCATAGGTTTGTTTACCTAAAAGCATAATATTATTAGAATGGAGACTACGCAAGAAATGCAAGCGCAAACCCACCTTCCAGAATTTGTCGTTGACCTGGTGCAGGGTCTGGTTGCCATTCAGGATGACCAACTGCTGAGGCTGTGGAGCGACGTAGATGCAGAAGTTGAGCACGCGACAGGCCTCTGGCAAATCGGCGCCCAGATCGAGGGTGAGCCGCATGGCCAGATACTTGCTGAGATGATCGACGGTGGCATTGGCCGTGGTCTTGATGTAGCGCACGCAGTTCTCCTTGAGTGCGCGTATTAGCTGGTTGTCAGCCGACATTTCCGTGGGATGGGGCTTGAATACGAGCTCGATTTCATCGTTGGTGCCCAGCTCGCCACTGCCCTCGCCCTCTGTGTCGATGTTGGAGTCGCCCTCGGTGCGGCAGTCCATCTGTGAGTCCGACTCAGACTCCTCGGATCGCTCTGAAGTCAGCACCGACATGGCGCGTTTCGGTTTAGAGCTGCTCGAGTTGGAGGGCACCGGTGAGGGAGTGCTCCGCATCGAGGGCGGATTCGACGCGTCGTCCACTTGCATCCGGGTGGCGGAAGTGCTGGCGCCCGAGTTGGCCGACGAGGAGGGGGCTGCATTCGAGGCGCTAGTAATGGCCGACGCTGCCGATGTGCCCGAATGACCCGGATCCCGGTTCTCACGATCAATGCTGTTGGTGTTGCTGTTGCTATCATTGGAGGCTGTGTCGTGGACGTGCAATTGATTGGAGGCATTGCGGCCCACAGCAGTGGGTGCACCAGGTGCCGGGGGAGCTGCGACATTGGCAGCACCATTTCCATTACCTCCACCACCCCCACCGCCGCCGCCGCCCTTGGTGCGGAATCTTTGTGGCCGGTTCTGGGACTGCAGTTTGATGCCCTCGTTGATGGAGTTAACCAGCGCCTGCTGCGACTGCGTCTGGTTGAACTTGGCCATCACCTTCTCCTGGATGGCCTCGTATTCCTCGCGACTGGGGTAGATCTTCGAGATGAGCAGGTCAAAGTTGGGATCAGCGCGCAAGGAGCGCTTGGAGACGAGCTTCTTGCGGCACGTGGGGCACTCCTTGTTGCCGGAGCGCAGGGCGGTCACAATGCAGTCGGAGCAGAAGCGGTGCAGGCACTCCTTCGTCGTCATCGTCTTCTTCAGCATGTCCAGGCAGATGGGACACATCAGCTCGCTGTGGAGGCTCCGCGGGGACACCGCGATCTCCGTGCTGTCCGTGATCACCTCCTGCGGCTTGCGCTGCAGCTCGTACAGCGACAGCTCCCACGTTTTGTTTGGCGCCGGGTCCAGCGACGTCATTTTCACACCAATTCTGAGGCTTTTCAATACACGAACAACCCTTTTTAGAAAATTTTCGCTCAGATTTTCCAAATTAGCTTGCAGTGTGACCGTACTTCGGCTGTTCAATTAAGCCACCAAGGAAAAAGGCCTAACAACAAATGCAGTTGGTATTTTCGCTTGGTATTTTTAGATTTTAGTTCATAGATTGGCGCGAACATTTCAAAATTTTAGCACATAATTACTGTGGTAGAAAATGAAGAGTTCATTATTTCATTACGTTTAAACTAAATAGATGCACTGTATACTTAAAATCGTATATATTGAAATCTAAATTACGCCTAATTCAACTTTCCCAATTTAATCTAGGGCTTAGTAAACTTAGAAAAGAAGAACCAAAGAGTCTGATTATTTATTACACATTTATCCAGCAACATTTTTATTTGAAAAAAAGTCCGTCGAATACATGCTGCAATTATTTATAGCTGCGACACGTAGAACTGAATGGTTTTAAGCACATTAGTTTCCTTTATTCCTCTCGAACAAAATAATAATACTTAGGTATATTCTGAGAATTAACAAAAATCACGCGCGTTAAGTTGATATTCTGAGGAACAGCCACTGTTTACAAGTCTGATTTGCAGTCTGGCTGCAGTTCCATGGTCAACAGATTGAATCCCTGTGATTAATTAGGGGCCGCCAGATCCTTTTCGGTTGACGCGCTGTCAACACCTCAATTTCCACGATTTCTTTGGGCTGTCAATCAAGGCGTCTGAAAGCATTTGCCGGATCCAGCCAAATATGGCCTAATGCAGAACCGCCGTTAGCTAAATTGCAGCTGAATGGGATTGTCTGCAGTTGCAGATGCAGTTGGTGACGCTGTGTGGGGCCGTCGAGAATGCAGTCGGTAATTGAATTGGAGAATTAGAGAACCGCCGCCACACGGTAGTCACTCCACCCGTCTGCATGCGATGACAATGACCCTTGAGGCTGAGCATTCCATTAGTTTTGGATCGCCTCGGATCGGCTTGGATCGCGTGCTTCCCTGGTTTCCCAGCCAAAAGGTTTTCCCTGGCTCACCTGTCACATTCGCTGAGCAATGCGCATGTGCGGCGCGAGTGACGTGGCAAATAAAATGAGCCATAGGCAAATGCCGCCGTTTGAACGAGCGGTGAAATTGCTGGACATGCCTGGCATGGCTAACAGTGAGCGTAAAACAGTGAAAAAGGCGTGGAAACAAAACGTTGATAGACGAAAAAACAACTGTTGTATCCCTAGGCGCAGGCGTTGCTACTTTCCAATTCCTCATTAGATCGCCCAGCTAATTATTGTGCTTGGGAGGCGTGGACGATTTTCGCTCACAGCAAATTGCTGTCTCATGGCGACCGTAATTGCAACACCTATATTGTATACTCAGAAAAATGAGGAACTTCGTGCCCACTTCATTTCCTTCATTTCCCACGAATTTCTCAAATAAAATATCCGGCTTGAAGGACCACGTTTTTATATTGAATGTTCAAACCTGATGTTATACTGAAGAATAAGCCCAATACTCCCTTCAAATAAGAACATGTCCAGAACTCTTTTCCAAGTGCAAGCATTTATGCCTTTGTCCGGCAATTTTCAACTTATCGAGGTTACCCACCGCGGCACCTGACCAGCAAAACCCACAGAACCCACAGATCCAACAGATCCAAGAGAACCAGCTGAATCACCTGGCCACCGCACCACTTGAACTTGTGCACCCACACGACGCTTGCGGATCGGCGCTGTCCTCGATTCGCCGGGTTCACGACCCACATGGCTGGCTCCCCACAACCTGGCAGCTTTCTTGAATGATTCCAGCGCTTTTCCATCGGCCAACGTCTATTGACATTAATCATTTGCGGCCGCTTGCGGAAATTTGCAAGTACCTGGCATAGCAGCTACTTCTGGGAAATGGAAATGATTGCCTCTCAGCACACTTTGTTATGGCAGCTTTATGGAAGGTGGTTTACTTTACGGCCAAGAGGCCACAGATTCCTATTTCAGCGGGCAAAAAGGCAAACCAAAGTCCCTCTATTCGACGTTCTTGCATTTCTTCTTTTTTTTCGGCAACTCAATCTGTACACCGGAAGGAAACAGACGCCATTTTGTGCTGCTTTTCGCCAGGTTTTTGTACTTTCATGTCTGCGAATTTGTGGCCATTGTTCGCAGTTAAAGTGAAAGTTGTGCCCTGATGTGCACAGAACTATAGAACGAGGAGCTGACCAGCCAGAAATTACCCATGCCTAATTGGGCTTAACGAGCTGAACTCGAGGTGGGCGTTCACTTTGAGGTTGGCTCTGCACTGGAAAAAATTCTGCTTACATTGGGGTATAAGGCCTACCACTGAAGTTTGCCAATTAAAAATCGATTTGACAGCATAAAACCACACTGAAAGTTGGAAACAACAAGGAAACTGGCATTAGATCACATTCTGTTTAGCTGGTGGGTTTTCTCACACATTCTTTTGCCTGCCACACTTAAAGCTGCCCCAAAATTGCTGCATGAGTGGACCGCAACATGCCACTTAGCCCCGAACTGGCAATCGATGATAGGTATGGGTATGGGCATGGGCATGGCATGAGCATGGGAGCTACGAATTCCAGGCCAGATCCAGACAGTTGCCATGCTGGCTTGTCACCCACACACTCGTCCACCGGCCACCTGGAATTGCAATTGCAATCTGTTAACTTGTCCAAAACAAAGGCTGCCACTTGCAAAAGAAAGGCCAACAGCAAAAGCAAGAGCAAGAGCAAGAGCAAAACCAATGCCACTCATAGCCAACAATTGACAATAACAAGCAGGCGGACGCCGGTCCACCCAATTTTAAACCCAAACCGTTGCTTTTTGGCCCGCTGAAGTGCCGGCCACATACAACATCATCGATAACAACCACTGAAACAGCAGCCGCACAATTGGAGTTCTCCAATTGCCCACTGTCCAAATATTGCCAGAGATCCCGAGAACGCAGCGCATTGTTTGCTCGTTATTATGGACGTGGCTCCTGATGGGAACCTGACCTGGGATTCGGGCTGGGATTGGGATTGGGATAAGATGGGTTGGGTTGGGCTGGGCTGAGCGGGTTCTTTTGTCTTTGACCGCGCACATACCATAAATAAATCTCAATTAAACTGCAACCCCTTTTCCACGGGGGCGTTGCCCATGAACGGCGGACCATGGACGATGGACCACTGTACCATCCTGGCAATCAATCAGCAGAGCAGCGGGCTACTCCCAAGTTTCCATGGGATGTCACAGATGTCTCCGCACATTCACACCCCAACTCCGCTGCCGACCGACGACGACGACGACTCCAACTTTTTGGCCGCCACTCTTTATTCTTTTCTATGCCACGCCATGCGGCACTTGCATGTTTATTATTTGGCCTGGCTTTTAGAAGCCGGTCCCGATCTGCAGACTGGACACAGTCCATACAAAGTGCCAACGTGTGGAGGAGGGCGGTACACGGCGGGCTGGGAGGAGCGGTTTTGGACCTGGCCAAGTCGCGGCGACGTCACAGTCGTTAAGCGTGACTTTGGTTATTGTTGTTTGTTGCTTTTTGCATACCGTCGGAAAATGGGTAAAATATGGTGAGGCAAGCGGCTTGGGGCACGGGTACGTAAACAAAAAGCCGAACTCCAAACTCGAAGTCGAAGCCACTCCACGAGTAACCAAAGGCGGAGAAGAAAGAACCAGGAATCGTTCGGCGGACACTGAATGCGGAATACCCTTTCGAAATTGGGCAATTACTTATTTTATACAAAATTTAAAGGAACCGTTTCAAAGGAAAATATTTTTGTTATATATTATTTTAATCATTTATTCAACCGTGTTTTTTTTTAATCTCAAAATAACATTTAAAATATCAATAATTTAAAAACGAAAGAAAAACATTCCACATTAGAAGGCCGGAAATCCATATTTGCATACCTACTCATCGATTCCAATTTCCAAATGGCACTTTCTTCCGAGAACCCGAGTGATTGTGCCCGGCACGGGTCAAACCAATGTGGTGGTTACTCACATGGCGCAGCACCCAGCTGAAGTACCCGAATCCACTCGGTGGCTTCGTTCTGTTTCTGTGGCATAAACTGCGACGACGACCGGCCCGCTTCATTCAGTCTTTGGCGAGATTTTATCGTGTGCGGACGTATCTGCGGTCGAAAAGCGAGCTTGAAAATCCGAATCCGAAACCGAGTAGCAAAGATACCGAATTCCAATCGAAAAACCCCGCGCGTCATTAACGCGAATTTAGATGCAGTTTTCAAACCTTTGGCGCCACAACGAAAAGACTTTGCAACTGTGATTCGACTGCGTTTACTTGAAAGCGTCGCTTGCCACATGCTAAAAGTGTCAATCAGAAAGCACCAGTTCATCAACATGAGTCCAAGCTGGATGAGAACGGCGGCCTGGCTGCTGGGGTAAGTTCCCAGGACCGTGGGCATCCTCTCTAGCTGCGCGATATGCCCCAGCGTGCTCGCCCCCTTTCCGTCTGCGTGGCCACTTCGATCCTGACCACCTCCTCCACTTCCGTCTGGGTTTCTCGGTTGCTGCAGGGATATACAACATGCACATCAGTGGGGATTGGTTACGGCGTTGTGAGTCACCTACCCGCTGGCCACCCGCTGCCTGGTGCGGTGCATGTGCAGACCACAGCCCTTGCACCTCAGCGTACAGTTCCACGAGGAGCGCATGGAACTCCTCTTGTCCTTGGCGACTCTGCGGGTCGAGGGATGGGGCTTTTAGTTGGCTGCTAAATCAGCTTTTATTGTTATTTGCCTGGCAGAAACCGCACTGCCTACTCTGAACGCCCAAGTCTTCGCAAATCTATAAAATTATTTCTGCTCTTTATGGGACTCGCATATAACTGGCATGCTTATAACTTATAAATTGGCGGAATTTCCCTGAAGTGATTTGCGCTAAAAGCGCTGTGAAAGTATTGTAAGTGCAGCTGGCCTGTTTTGCTTTATTTTCCGCATGCCTAGTAGAATGTGAGTTTGGGAACCTATAAAAATATATTTCTAAAAAGTAGGAGAAATTCCTATATGCTAGTTTCTTGGATTGAAGTTAAATTAGCTCGCTAATTGGGACACGAAACATTTAGTTACCTTGCAATCCTGCATTTGGGCTCCAACTTGAGTGAGTCTTTCTTGGGCTCCGCTGGGAAAGTCTCCCTCGGCTGATTATCCCCGAGCTGGCTGGACGGGATGGGTGTCATTGGCTCCAAGGACGCCTCTCTGGGCAGGTCCAGCTCCATTCGTATTTGCCTCACTTGCAGCAGGCTGATATCCACCAGTTGATTGACGGCTTCCAGCACCTCATTCTGGATGAGGTTGCTCTGGTTCTTGATGGATTCGTGGATGAGATACAGGGCCTGAGTGTGGGGCTTGATGAGCTCCTCCTCGTCGTCGATGGTCTGCGTACTTATGTGCCGGCTGTGTCTCTTGGTTTGTACAGCGGCATTGGTACAGTGAAGCATCGTTTGGGTGCCCAGGCAGGCGTTGAGCAGCTTGGTCTGCGTGCTGTTCGGCTTGGTGCCAAAATCCGTCTGGGTGGTGTTGCAATGCAGGTCGTGTGTATCCGTTTGACTGGCAAAGGTCGCGTAGCCGGGATTGAAGGTCTGCTGATCCCTGGCAACGGTTACGAACAAATCGGAGGTGTCCACATGACTGGAAGTGCACTTTTGGTTCTGCGATTGGCTGGCCCTGCTGTCCAGCTCGACTTCTGTGCCCACTGCTATGCTCGTGACTTGCTGGGCGGGATCATGGGTCTGTGCATCTCTGCAGATGGTGCTGACCAAGTCCGAGGTGTCCACCTGGCTGCTGAGCCTCTCCTGGCGCTGCGTTTGGCTGGCAGTGCTTTCCATCACCACCTCCATGCCCATGAGTTGCCTGGAGCTGCTGCGATGCAGCAGGGTTTGAGTGCACCCATCTTGCCGTGGTGGTTGGACGACCACTGTGGGTGCACTCCCTCCATGCGACATCCGCTTCAGAAGACGACGACGCTTTTGCAGGCGACTGCTCAAGGAGGGAGTGCGTCGAATCCTCTTCACCTGGCGGATCATCAGTTTTCCGTTCTGCAGCTCATAGTGCACCAGGTAGCTCACTCTGCCGAACTTGAATCTCTTGTGCCGACTTATGACTGCATTGGGACTGGTGGACATGGAAACCAGGAGCAATTCCTTCAGATCAAAGCGCATTTTGAATATCCTTTCGCTCTGCTCACAATATTCAACGTACGATTATACAACGTACAATTTTGACAATAACGTTTCTGTACAGTAATTTCCAGGGGTTTGGGATTCTGAATTATTGATCCCGGGTTCAGAATTATCAAAGGCTGTATGATGTGAGTCGCTGGTTGTGCCGAATTTTCACACGAAACCCTCTTCGAATGCCTTGTCTTTGGCCCAAAACCCAAAACCCAACACGCAACCTCGTGTTGCACATACATCCACTTGTATAGGATGTTGTATGGCTGCGGGCTCCTTTGTGCCCGCCTGGTAATTCATTAATAATTCAGAAATGCCGCATATGCCCAGGACCAGGACGGCAGCTACAAAATAAATACGAACGTAAAAAAAATGCATTCACTTATTCTGCAATTTATCAATACGGAGTTAACATGAAAATGGCCACAAAAACCACAGCGCAGACACACGGAGGACACAAAGGAGTAGGAGCTACCCGCCTGGGGTGTTTGTTTGGCTTGCATCGGCATGTGGTTGGGGATGGGAATGAGGATGTGTTCCATGGATGTGGAGGGAGCACTCCAGACGATGGCAGCATGTGGTGGCCACTGCTAAGTACGTGTTGATTTGGGCGCTTGCGATTGGGCTCCCATGGATTTGCAATCCACAAAATCGATTGGGCCCCATTCCCTTATAGCCATATAACCGTCCATCAGCTCCAGGTCCAGCTGCAGCTCCGGCTCCTGCATCTGCTCCTGCTCCCGACTGGCCTCTAATCCCGCCTGGGGGCGTAGTTTCTGCCTTCCTGCACTCGAAATTTATGCAGCTTCTTTGACTTCTAAGGTTTTTGAGCTCCTTTTTTGTTTGCATGCATTATCTTTGGTAGCTGGAAGGCCAAGACTTGGCTCAGAATGCCGGGCACGTCGACTGGCCTTCGGTTGCATTTATTGCATAAAGCCCAGCCAATTTCCATGATAATTTGTAACGAGCGCCGGACCGCCAAGGGCTGCACTCCTATGAGCCACTATGTGGTACTTTGTGTACTGGCTTAGTCGGTCAATAGCATTTCGCTTGACAAAGTCGAAGAGCCGATCTTCTGAAGACCTCAAGACCTGCGTATAATAGCATAATGTGGCATTCTGGGCGAAAGGCAGCGGCGATTGCAACTCCCCCGGAGGTGGAGCTATGTGGAAGGTTCTAATGCTCCCATGGCTCTTGGGTTTCCCAGCTCTTTCACCCATGATAGCCACACTCCATACCCGTAATTGTACGTGCCATTTGCATTTTTATCTGCTTTGCTTTCCGCTTTCTTCCCCATTACAACTTGACACTCGAGCAACAACGGCGTGTAGTTTTCAGTGGTTTCCAGTTTCGCCTTGGGGCAGGGGCAACATCTATTTAAAGTTGAGCACTTGGCTCACTCGACACCGCTGGCCCACCGAAAACCAGCGCGAAATGAAGACCTCTGAAGACCATCTCACCTGTCAAAGGGAGTGCCGCCAGAACGGCCCTGAGCCTTGAAACCCCGCCCCTGGGGCTCCAATCAAAGTCCGCAGGCCACCTAATCTGCTATAGCATTTCGCACATAAAAACTGGCCTTGCCGGCCCATAAAACGCTGCCCATTAAAGCTGTTTCCTTTCCATTCCAGGCTCTACTGTCTCATGTGCGTCGCCGCGATGGCCCAGGGTGCCAGCAATTCGGGAGCGCCCGCTGCATCCGCTGCAGCCGCCAAGGATGTGGCCCACATGCACAGGCCCAAGAGGCTGGACAGGCGCTCAGGAGCGGCCATGGCCTTGGGATCGAGTCCTCTGACGCCCAAGCCACTGGCCAGAAGCGCTCACGGGCTCAACAAGAAGCTGCTCAGGTGAGCCAACACCCCGGGCAAACACTTGATGATAAACCATCGGAGAGCTAGTTCTAGCAGTTTGTGCCCATAAAATATTAACGAAACTAGCATCAATATAATTGGCTCCATAGGGCAAATCAGAGCTCTTTTACAGTAGCTTAGCAATAGCAGACCACTCTGTGTTTAATAATACATATGTACATCCCAAGCCCAGAGATTATTCCACGCTGCACTACTGTATCCTTAATTAAGCCATCAAGCGGCATCCCAATTAAGCTGTCTGTTTAGGCGATTACAGGCGCTTAAAAATGGTAATTCCTGCCCAACTCCCAGTTTGGATAGTTGAATAGAACAGCAGTGGATTAAAGCAGCTTTTCTGCCACTGCCCAGTTAGACAGCCCCTTATTTTGGGCCTAATTAAGGTCCCATGTCCCACCCAACCCATGCAACCCCCTTGGTGGAGCCATAAATTATGTACTGAAATATTCATGGCAATCGCTTACAACGCTCGCCAGACACTATCAACCATTACACCAACCCACTTGGTCGTTGCAGCCAGATGGGCTTCATGAAGGTGAAGGCGCCCAACAGCCACAACAGGAAGCGACTGGCGGTTGAGTCACGACGCCATTCCTCGCGCGATGATTCACACATGTTCATCATCAAATTGCCGCCAAATATGCACTACTATGCAGGACCCGGTGCGAGGAATTCTGTCGCGGATCAGCAGGACAAGTCTGGCCACAAAGGCAACGCACCCAGCAAGATGACACTGGCGACAGCCACATCTAGCACACCAGCCGCAGCAGCAGCACCAGCCGCATCAACCGCAGCAGCAGCAGCAGTTGCAACATCACCAGTTGCCGAGGCGTCGGCGTTGAAAGCTAACGGGAAAAAGGTAAACGGGATTCCATTAGGTTACACCATAGACACACAATGCACTGGGTCTGGATCTGGCTCGCTGGCTGGCTGGCTGGCCCCTTCTGGCCATGGCCAGAACTGGCTCTCAGCCAGGTTTGGACCTAGACCGCGATAAACATCGGCGCGCATGCGCATAAAACAAATTGCAAAACACTCGGTGGCGCGGAGGAGCGGCAGCTGGAAGTGGCAAGTTGGTGGCAGTGGAAGCGAAATGGATTACCCATTTGGTGGCAGTTGCTGGCCAAGAAGGGGGAAGTTGCTATTTATATGCGTGTTACCCCCAATGCCCCAAAATGGGTATGCTGCGTCCCCGGCCAGCTGTCCTATAAATAGATCTTCGATAGGGTCATGCCGAGCGGCTACGAGCGACTGGTATTGGGCATCTGGGAGTCCACTGCGATACGGGTGCTCAACAGCATTCCGAGCTGTAATACATGGCCTTTGTGAATTAATGCGGCAAGTGTCAATGTCAGTGGATGTCCGACAGGCAGTGGCACGAAAATTATTACGCTCTCACGACTCCGGTGCTACAATGCTGCACCAATGCTGCTCCAATGCTGCTCCAATGCTGCTCCAATGCTGCTCCGTTCCCGGCTGAGCCAGAAATTAATATGCAGGCCATTAACCAAGTCCGAGGCTCAATTAAAAATGCAATTTGTTTGAGCCACCCCACTCCACTAGGCTCCAATCCAACCGACTCCACTTGTCCAGAGCAAGTGCGTGGCATTCCCGATTCAGACGCCAGAGCACGCCTGATTTATGGGACGCCAGTCGCAGAGCACGGGTAATGTTGGCTAATCAGTGCGCTTCAATTGCAGGTCTCGTTTCCCTTCAGCTCGAATGGGCGGCCGGGCCGCATCTACCACTGGAACCTGCCCGTCCTGAAGGAGGCGCTCGCCAAGAAGCCCCACTTCGCCCACGTCTCGGCGGCGGATCGCAATAGGCTGCTGGACATCCAGAGCGTGCCCACCTGGCGCCAGCCCTGGGAGAACGAGACCGCCGAGAAGGGCTTTAGTGCGGGCGGCGGGAAGGCCAAGTACCGCAAGTCCCTGAAGCCCAAGTCACCCACATATTACGCACCCGCCCATGCGGTCAGCAAGCAAAGCTTCCACAAGTACTTCGCGGGCAATGGCAAGCCCAAGGGATTCTATGTCATCAAGGAGCACCAGAAGAAGCCGCAGTTCTACCAGAACATCATCTCGTAATCCTTGGAACACCCTCGAAAGACTGCGGTGCCGGGCGTTCTGTTTTCAATCTTCTAAACGGGGATATCCACCCCACTTCCGTCCAGTTTCCACTGGGAATTCGCTCCTTTCTTGGCGAGTCCCGACTGCATCTATAGCAACCTGAGCAGCTGTTTAACAACTGCGATGGGTGAGATCTATTTTTATACCACGGCATGAATACAATAACAGGTGGGCTGGTCCAAGCTGGGTGCACCTCATATCAATCTATGATCAGCCATGTCAGCACATAGAAGGAGTCAATACGGCGTCCATTCATTTGAGACTTTAATGCTACCAACACCATTATGGTAAAAACAGAAGAGACTGGGTTGGGATTTGACTTGGTCACAACACAGTTGAAAAATACATTAAAAATTTAATTGAAATTTTGTATTTAAATTTTAATCAGCTTTGTGGCAGATTTGAATGGGCTATATATGTTTAGTAGTTTGGCAGTTGCCAGCAGCAGAGTCTGAAATATACGAATAGCACTTCTTGTGGACTTCCTATTGACCTTCATACATATCGGTTCGATCTGAAATCCTTGAGCCCGAACCCTTCGAAGGACACCCCGCCGCAGGACCAGCCCAAACTGCATTTAACTAAGCATCTGCGGCAAGCAATAAATTATGGCATAATCAAGCTAGGTTTAAGTGCATGAACGATTTTGTTTTGATAAATAAATATTGACTGATTTTTAATTGCGCCAGAAACATTTAGAGGTATGCCACTTCAAAATCCGAGTAGAATGAGTTGAGTTATGGAGTTTTGAACTTCAGCCTTGGGACAACTCTTAATTTTGTTTCATTTCTACATCATAAAAATTATATACAAATTAAAAAAAAAAAAATTTATAAATTTGAATGCAGCTTTTTAGAGAATTGCTCCAGAAACATTTAGAGGTATGCCACTTCAAAATCGGATTAAAATAAGATGAGTTATGGACATTTGAACTTCAGTTTTTGGACATTTTTGAATTTCATCTACATCTACAACATCATAGCATCAGAAAAATTACAAAAAAATGTAAAAAAAATAAAATTCTAATTTTGAATGCAGTTTTTTAGAGAATTGCTCCAGAAACATTTAGAGGTATGCCACTTCAAAATCGGATTAAAATAAGATGAGTTATGGACATTTGAACTTCAGTTTTTGGACATTTTTGAATTTCATCTACATCTACAACATCATAGCATCAGAAAAATTACAAAAAAATGTAAAAAAAATAAAATTCTAATTTTGAATGCAGTTTTTTAGAGAATTGCTCCAGAAACATTTAGAGGTATGCCACTCCTTAATCCGATTAAGATAAGTTGAGTTATGGACTTTTGAACTTCAGTCTTGGGACATTTTTGAATTTCTACAACATCATACATCAGAAAAATTACAAAAAAATGTAAAAAAAATAAAATTCTAATTTTGAATGCAGTTTTTTAGAGAATTGCTCCAGAAACATTTAGAGGTATGCCACTTCAAAATCGGATTAAAATAAGATGAGTTATGGACATTTGAACTTCAGTTTTTGGACATTTTTGAATTTCATCTACATCTACAACATCATAGCATCAGAAAAATTACAAAAAAATGTAAAAAATATAAAATTCTAATTTTGAATGCAGTTTTTTAGAGAATTGCTCCAGAAACATTTAGAGGTATGCCACTTCAAAATCCGATTAAAATAAGATGAGTTTTGGACATTTGAACTTCAGTTTTTGGACATTTTTGATTTTCTACAACATCATAACATCAGAAAAATTACAAAAATATTAAAAAAAAATAAAATTCCAAATTTGAATGCAGATTTTTAGAGAATTGCTCCAGAAACATTTAGAGGTATGCCACTTCAAAATCCGATATGGACTTTTGAACTTCAGTCTTGTGACATTTTTGACTTTCTACAACAGAAACATCACATCAGAAAAATGACAAAAAAATTTTAAAAAAATTAAAAAAAATAAATTTCTAAATTTGAATGCAGATTGTTAGAGAATTGCTCCAGAAACATTTAGAGGTATGCCACTTATTAATCCGATTAAGATAAGTTGAGTTATGGACTTTTGAACTTCAGTCTTGTGACATTTTTGACTTTCTACAACAGAAACATCACATCAGAAAAATGACAAAAAAATGAAAAAAAAATTAAAAAAAATAAAATTCTAAATTTGAATGCAGATTGACTTTTGAACTTCAGCCTTGGAACATTTCTAAATTTTTTGAGCGCTTGTTCTCATTTTGCGTTCATACGGACAGACGGACATGGCCAGTTCGAATCGGCTATTGATCCTGATCAAGAATATATATACTTTATATGTTCGTTCTGCCTGTTACATACTCTTCATCGAATCTAGTATACCCTTTTGCTCTACGAGTAACGAGTATAATAGGGGGGTGGAACTGTCTGCTGCGAGTTTATTGACTTGGACAAAGGTGAACTGCGGCCAGGAGGACTGGGGAAAGGTGGGTGTCTGGCGAATTTGACAGTTGCCGCCGAGTTCTTGGCTGCCCATTCAGCGGAGCAAAAAATAACAAAGGGCAAAAAAAACACCAAAAATCCAGCTAATTATATAAGCGGCTATAGGGGCCGTATGTCGGGCGTGTTCTGACTAAGCCCTATGGGAAGATTTAAGATTGGGGCTCAAAAAACAAAAACTGCGAAACGGAAGCGGGCGAGCGTGCGCATGCGCAGTTTCTCATTCGGCAGATAAAGCCGCAGACATACAGATACAGATACAGATGCAGATACATTTTTATAAGTCAGCGCCAAGTCGCCAGAAGTAACAGCCCCATAATGACAACAAATCTGGCAGACAGACGATGGCGATGGCGCACCTCCAAACTGCCGCATAAATAGTGTTGTATGTTTGTTCCTTCCCTCTTGATTTCGCTTTTCTCGTTGGATTTTATCTCCTCTTTTTTATTTGTGTATTTTTGGCGACTCTGGCGCATTATTGTCTTTTGCAGCTTATGTTTTCCCGATTCTGGGAGCGACTCTGCTGACTCACGAGCGTTGAACTTTTCACCCGTATCCCGTATGCCGTATGCCGTATGCGTATCCGTGGCACATGGAGTGCGCGGCTTAAGTAGATTTAATGACTTGTGGTTCTGCGACTGAGACGTAAATCACTTGTATGACATTTGGAGGATGGAACCTACTTGTCGATTTTTTACGGCCGTCATCGGGGAATGCGCCATGTGGCATGGCCATTCCCATACATCCATACTGGCAATCAAATGTCGGCTAACAGCGGCTTGGCCAAATGTGCAACAAATTCCGGGCCATCGTGGTCGCAGTTCCAGCCACTTGTTAACGCCATTTCCGCCCGTCATATCAAAATAATTATCTCAAAGTGTTGGCTCTACTCGGTAGTACCCGGCATCCAATGAAATGCAGCAAACACCATACCAAACCGAGCCGAACCGATCTGAAAACAAGACTCGTTTGCGTGCGGGGCAGTTTGGGGTTCTATCTGAAAGTAGTGGACAACTTGATCTGCAGAACAAGTTACGCACGCAATCTTGATTGCAATTATGTAATTCGAAATTCCTACTAATTAAACCAACATTTCGCCTAATCGTATTTGCACTCGAAACACGCTAAAAATCAATAAGATCGTTGATACCCTGAACATAGTGTGGGCAATTTGTTAGCTATTGAGTGTCTGTAAGTAAAAAGTGATTGATTTGTAATAAAATTCCAATTTTTAAACACAAATGTTTTAGATCTACTAAAATAAATTCTATATATAAAATAATGACTGACAACTTACGCCGTACAATTTCAATCTTAAGCAAATTCCAATATCAAATTGGTTTGCTTTACTTAATGAGTTCCGCCTTTAAATGTCAGCACCTTGCCACACGGCTGACCAAAATGAGGCTGGCCATCGTCTACTTGGTCATTTTGGTCATCTTGGTCATCTTTGCCATTGTGGAATCCGGAAAAATCAAGAGGAGGAAATCCAAGGTCAAAAATAAAAACAGCAAATGGAAGAAGGTCGGTAAAGCGGAGACTTTCATTAAAAATGATAAAAACGAAGTCATATCAGAAAGGAACAGGAAATCCAAACCGAATATGTATATAAATTAAAGAATATATCTTTATATCACCCTTAAGTGCGAAAAAGTTAGTTGTTTTATTTTCCATCTCAAGCAATGTAAATTAATTCATTTAAATCGATCCACATAATAGGTGTTGCAATATTTAGCAAACTAAATTTGGCTAGTAGTAGTAGTATATTCTTAATCACGATCAATAGCCGAGTCGAACTGGCCACGCCTCAGTCTCAGGAACTAAAAAAGCTAGAATATTGGGACTAAGCATAAAGCTTCCAGATACATAGACGCAGCGCAAGTTTATTTCCGAATGTTGCCACGCCCACTCAAACGCCCGCAAACCGCCCAAATCTTATAATCGGGATCTCTTGTTTGACCATCTTAACTATTTGAGCATCTGCAAGGCTGAGTAAGAAAAAGATCCAGGATGCGATTAATGATGGAACAAACATCATCGATTTAAGGACTGCCAATTTCGAACACGTAACGAAAATTAAATAAGTAATCATAATTAATCATTATATAATTTACAATGCACTTAAATAGTTATTAAGCGTGACAGCTTCGTTCTTAATCTTAATTACAACACCGTAATCTATAGCGAATTATTTATATCCACTTGAAATGTGTTGGATATATAAGGCGGCCAAAAGAAGCTCGGTTATCCAAAATGAAGTTACTAATCCTCTTCCTAGCCACATTGGGCGCAGCTGCTGCACGCTTGAGGGGACATACTGTCAAAGGATGATGACAAAGTGATCCACCAGATAAGCCAATGGCTTGATGATTTTTAAGGAAATCAAATAAAATTGCATGCTGTAAGAGCAAGTCCACTAGAGTTCTTAATCCATTATTAAGAGGGGTAAACGTTAATTACACTTCAGATTAGATTGGGCATTTACTAGAAGGATATGTAGCTGAGAATTTCATTTAATTTAAATAATCCCGCCATAAAAAGTTCTTGGCGCAGTGTGACCATACGCAATAAAGATACCCACCTACTGGCATAGGAAAGTAAACAAAACATGGCACTGAACTCCAAACTTAGGGATCTCATCTTGAACAGCCACGTGCCGCTGGTCCTGGACCAGTTTCCGCTGAAATGGGAGTGCTTCGAGGGATCCCTACACGACTGGTGCCAGCGATTTGACCAGGAGGCCAGCTCTCCTCCAGACTTCGAGCTGATGGCTTTGGCGGACAGCAGTACGCCGCAGTGGGAGCGAAAGCGGACCAAAGCCAGTAAGCTCAGCATGCAGCAGTTCCTGCGAGAGTACGGCGTCCTGAAGGAGGAGCACACCCACTGGGCGGCGTACCAGTACAAGAGAGCCGACGAAGTGCCACCCAGTTGCCGGAGGGGCATTGATTTCTCCAGTTTCGGTTTCCCGGTCATCGGAGACGACTTCCGCTTATGGCTGGGATCGGAGCAGGCCAACACGCCGTGTCACTACGACACCTTTGGCGTCAACATAGTGGTGCAGGTGCATGGCAGCAAGTCGTGGCTGCTCTTCCCGCCTGAGACGCCGCTGCAGAGCACCAGGATTCCCTACGAGGAGTCCAGTGTCTACTGTGTGGAGAACTTTTACGCCCCGGACCCGGCAAAGATTCAGAGCTACGAGCATCTTGGCCGGCAGGCGTATCACTGCAACCTGCAGGCGGGCGAAGTACTAATCGTGCCGCGTAACTGGTGGCACTACGTTGAGGCCACGTCCACGTCGCTGAGTGTCAACTACTGGGTGCCGCTTAGAGTGGACATGGACCTGGTTTTGGACGAGTTCCTGGTCATGCATATCGTGGAGAGCTTTGTCAGGGGAGAGAGCGATCAAATGAAGCAGTACGTGCTCAATCCCAACCAGTTGGGTGACCTGTCTACCAAGCCCAGCGACCTCTATGCGCAGTTCGAGCAGGCGGTGCAGAATCTAGAGAGTGGTCAGAACACCCGAAAGCTCTTCGATACCGACTACATCAGCCAAGCGGATTGGAAAACTTTGTTGAATAGTATCAGCCCCACAGTGCGCCCTTTGCAAGTGATGCCTCACGAGGAATACAAGCAGCTCCTCCGCGCCAACTCCAAGAGATTCCGAAATGCTGTTAGCCCACCAGAGTCAACTCCCATTAGTTCCACTTGGGAGCTTCTAGTAAGCAGCATGTGTGCTCCACGGGTAATTGCCGAAATGAAGAGCGAGTTCTTTTGCAGGCTACGAAAAAGTAACTCCCTCTAGCTAAACACACAAACGAGTATCTAGGGTAAGAACGTGATAATATTGTTGCATATTTGAGATTAAAATCCAATAAGCCATCAACATGTATGATACAATTTCCAAACAGAAGCAGGACACGGAGCATTAAATGCCGAATACCACCCATCTTGTCTGTCCACCATCCAGACTCATCTGAGGCTCTGCCAAGCGATTGGCCCTTGGGCGGAACATACTATGCACATGTGGACATGAAATTGCTTAGCTACAGCGCCATTTACCAGCCAGGTGGCTTCTGGTTTGGATATCCGCCCTGCTGGTTGGCATAACTGCCTGGGTATGTTCCGTAATGGCCGGGTGGCGGTCCCTGCGGGAATCCCTGGTATTGATAATCTACAGAAGATGAACAGCATTATTGAAGAGTCATGTTAAACTGAGAGGTTAACTTACTGCCAGGATACGGCAAGGTGGCGTACGGATTGAAGCTCTGTGGCATCGGAGCGGGCACATACGCAGGGTAGGGCACACCTGGTTGGGCTCCATATGGAACGGGCATGCCTTGCACTTGAGCCGGATACGGAATGTTGGCCGTTGATGCGACAGGCGGCACGCTGGGTGCGGACCCAGGAGGAATATCTTAAAGAAAAGAACGGTTTCGATATTCCGCTTAGTTGGGCTTTGGTGCTTCACTTACCGCTGCCACTGCCCGATGTGGATGCATAGTGCGAGGGCAGGGCCGGGGTGGGCGGACAAGCCTGGCGACTGGACTCTGTGGTCAAATCCTTGAGCAGCTCCTCCTTCTCTGTCTTGCGGGCGAACACAAAGTCGCTGATCTTGTTCTGGAATACAACCAGCAACTGCGTGAGGTCGTTGTAGAACTTGGTGCCCTCCTGCAGATTTCCTGAAAGTTCGATGTAGCTATCGAAAGCGGTTGCTAGCTCCTGGTATAAAGTATCCCGCGAGCTGCCGCAGCTACCAGTTTCAGAGACAAAGGCACCATGGGCGCTCTGGATGTCGTTGACCAAAGACTGCTGGCGCTCCACGCTCTCGCGCACCTGCTGCTGTAGGGGATTGAGAACTTGGCCAATGCGAGCCAACGATATGGCGGGCTCGTCAATAGCACCATCCTTCTGCAGGGCAATCAAGAACTCGTCCTTCATATTGAACGTGGAGCCCTTCAGCTCGGACTCGATTGCCTCACGCTCCGCCTTAATGGTCTCCACGTCGTCCATCAGCTTCTTAAGACGTTGCACGCTGGAGCAGTTGGGATCCACACTGCCACTGGCCGAGGGCAGAGACTGTTGGATTTGATCGGGTGGCAAGGACAAGAGTTGGATGCCCTTCTGGTTAGCCTCAAACTTCTGGCGAACCACCTTGTCGGCTTCAATGGCATTGGTGATGACCTCGCGATACTTCATCGCGTTGGTGCGGAACATCTCTGTTAGCTTGTCGGAGCTGATGCGAGTCCAACGCTCCTTAAATTGCGCACGCAACTGATTATCAGAGTCGCGTTCTTCGTCCAAGAGCCGCTCGGTTTCGTCGAGAATCTCGCGGTTGCGGCTTAGTAGCTCGGGAAGATCCTTAAGCAGCGTCTGCACATTCTCAATGCCGCCCTTCTGGCGAACTTCATTGGCCTTTTCCTTTAGCGACGGTGGAAGCCCACTGTTGCTATCAGCTGTCTCCACGGCCGCTGGAAGATTCAAGCTTGCCAAAACGGCGTTCAGAGTTTGGGTGGCTTCACGCAGCTTCATGATCTCCACGTTAACGATCTCATTGCGGCGCATATCGGAGGCGGTGAGTGCGCGATGGAGCTCCACGGGCACTAGACTGCTGAATATATCCTTAAAGTTGGCAGCCATGGGGACAGCGATGGCCAAAGGCTTGGCCAACTGGGCCTTTCCAGGAGGGGTCAAGGTGCTTAGATCTGGTATGATCTCGTTGTAGATGAACTCATTGTCCTTGGTGGACTCGGCCAAGTTGCGCTTGGCGCGGCTAAAATATTCATCCAAGTAGGTCTCATTTCCGCCACGCGTCTGAGCCGCCTTGAAAAGATCAACGGCGTTGCGCAAACGAGCAATCTCCTCGCCAATCTTCTTGGCGGCACGGCACACCAGACTCTGGTACAGCTGGGTGAGGGCATGAAAGCCAGCCTGCTTTCCGGCAACCGTAGGTATCCACTCCTTCTCCCACAGGTTGCGCACAGACTCCTTTTGCATGGCGCGCAGCACATCGGCGTAGGATTCCTCCGCCTGGCAGCAAAGCTTGGCGATGATCTGTTCCTTCATGTTATCTGGCGGAATATAAATGCTTCAAATTGTTAGACCTACATTCAAAGCGATATATCTTTCCATTTCTTTTGAGCAAGTGATTGGAACTGTTGAATTGAATGATTCATTCCGATTGTTCTTATCATATGATTTAAAAGAAAATAATAGGGTAATGAACCCACGTAACAAAAGTTATATTTTCGGATAATCTTGGTACAATACAATTTTATGCCAAGTATATGAAACTTGTATAATGCTGTCTTCACCCTCGACTTCTATTCAGATGCTGTTAACTGATAAAATAGTTTATCGCCCAATGTAAACAGCGAAACATTACTCATAGATAAGAATTTGAATGTAAATGGAGTTCGGGCTCTTATTTGAATAGGTGCTACATACCCTTAATTGCCTTCAGAATGAAAACCTCCTGCGCCTGGGCGACCATCAGAGCCTGCAGCACCGTCAGCGAATCCTGGCTGAGATCTGGCGTGGGTTCCGAGGGCACTGCCGCCGGCGTGGCTCCCTTCAGGTATTGAAAGATGCCGGCGCTCTGCTGCAGCAGTTTGATGGTCAGTTTAAGGCCATCATCTGAATCCAGGGCCTGGTTGGCAGCGATGTTGCTCTGCAGGGCAGCAATGTTGAAGAGCACGCATACCTTCTCGTAGAGCAAGGAGGTGTGAGCTGTGGATTGTGGATGTTGGGGTCAGTGGTGAAATATACTTGGCACAAGGCAGTGAATCACTCACTCTGGCTGATCTTGTTGCCGAAAATGGAGCCCTTGTCGAAGGCATCCTTCCACTTAAAGGGTATCTGCAGTTCGCTAACCGATATCTTTGTCTCCAGCGCGCAGATCTGGTCATAATAGCTGCAAACACAAAGGAGGCAACAAAACCCGGAGGCAAAACAACATCCATTAGTTAACGACTACGTCATCCGATAGCTTGTTTACGTCTGACCACCACCGACCGTACTAATACAGAAGCACCAGGTGGTGCTTGAATTGAATGGAACGGGTGTGATTAGCTGCCTCTTTTGTGCGGGTGACTCATCCGGAGATCCCCAAGAAAAAGGTCACAAAGACTTGGTGGTACTTACGCGTACACAATCTCCAGTGAAGCTTCGTACTTTTCGAAGAATTTCCAAATCGCCGTATTGCGTTGTTTCGAAAATTCGTTGACGGCCTCTGCGTACTTGCCCTTCTCCTCCTCCGACGCACCGTTGTAGGTGCTCTGGATGAGATTGTTCAGCGGCTTGATCACGTCCACCTCCGACGGCTTCTTCAGCGGCACGCCCAGAAACTTCGACATATTTTCCTGTTCTGCGGAGTCTACTTCTTGTATGATTAATATTAATTGGCCGTCTTTCGCTCTATTCGAACTCCGCCTTGCTATCTCGTTCCTTCCCCTACAACAGCTGGACAGCGATGCCAAGTCGTCGATAGAGTTTTCGATAACCACTGTAGAGCACAAAAAAATACTAGAGATTCGATTTCATAGTTAAAAGGTGCATTATGTGTATTTTTGTTTTAGGTATTTAATATATTAAACTATAAGTTCAACCGGTAATTCCCAGAGCTGCCAGTATTTTAATACCCCTTACGTGGTGGATATATTAAATACGTTTCTCGCCCTGTCCTTACGTGTTCATCGGTGTGGCATCTCTGCGGCGAGAGAAAGGTAACCCTAGACTTTCTATTTTCTGATTGCGTTGTTGTCGAGAAAACTCAGAGAAATTATTGGTTTTTCGGCACACTTTACCGTAACAAGGAGCACGCTTACTAGAGTAGTCAGTCCTTGTCAAGAATTCGCACGTGAGTTGAGTTACGAGGCACTGGCTCGGCTATCCCAGTGACACCTAGAATCCCGTTCTATACCATTCCGCAGAAGAAGCAGCAGCAGTAGCGAGGCAGAAAACCGAAGAGACCCCGCGATGGCCGAAGTGGAGAAACCAACGGCGGCCACGCCCCCGACTGACATCCCCCAGGCCACGGCTCCAGCTGCCAGCGAGGCACCAGTGGCTGTAACGCCCACAACGGATGCCACCGTGGACGTCGAGCCGGGCACCTCGCCCACCCAGGAGCCCAACTCCAATTCGCATCCGCACGACTCCGAGTACGACACGGCCAGTGATCTCGAGGGCGGAGAGGACTACGACGACGAGGAGAGTGCCAGCGGGAGCGTCAGTGCCAGTGGCAGCGAGGAGGAATCTGAGACGGACGACGAGGACGAGGAGGTGGGCAGCGAAACGGATGATGGCGAGGGGGAGCAGGCACTGGACCGCTCTGTCGCCGACAGCGAGGCCCAGAAGAAGGTGGACGAGGACCGCAGCAATCCCCAGTATATCCCCAAGCGAGGCACTTTCTACGAGCACGACGACCGAACGGCGGAGACCGAGGGAGAAATCCTGATCGAACCGGAAAACGGTGCTGGCCAGGCGGCGGCGGAGCCAAATGGCGAACTCAATGGACTAGCGGCAGCCGGCGCCACGCCCACTGGCCAAACGCCACAGATCTCACAGGCATCCAAGACCATGCGCAAATGGCAGCCAGCGTCAGGCGGTGATCGCTGGTCCCACGATCGCTTTGAGGCCGCGGAGCAGGCTCCGAAATCCCGGGCAGAATTGCTGCAGACATACGGCTATGATATTAGAAACGAGGACGCACCGCCCAGAGCCAGACGTCGCCGGCGATATACGCGTGGGCCTAGTAAATACTCAAGAAACTGGGAAGACGAACAGGCCTACCTCAAAGCTAGCAATAAGGAGCGCAAGCCGCCGCGGCCACAGGACTTCCCGGCGCTCAACGAGAGAAAGCCACGTGGTCCACGAACGTCTTCCTCGCGTGAAGAAAAGGAAAACCGACGGTCTGTCGGTGCTGGAGGCTTGGTTGCAGAGAAGCAACAGCCCTTGGCTAGTGGCTCCAATCCTCACAGATCCCAGGAGCGTGAACGGGAGAGGGAAAGGGAGCGGGAACGTGATCGTGATCGTGAGCCCAAGAATCGCAACTTTGGGCGGATGAATGGCGGACCCGGACGTCAGAATGGCATGGAGTTCAAGAAGAACAGCCGTGGACAGCAGCCACGAGAGCGGGAGCGGGGCCCAGACCAATTGGACAACCGTAACCAGAAGCAAACCACTCCACGCTCCAACCAACAACAACAGCAGCAGCAACCTCAGCATCAGCCACAGTCGCAGCAGCAACGACAGCCGTCCCAGCAACAGCAGTCTCCACAGACGCCGCTCTCCACGTCGAACCTGTCGCAGCGACTGCAGCAGGTGCAGCAACGCAACGATCCCAGCCACGTGGGCAGTGTCCAGATGCACTCGCTGGCTAACCAAAATCAGGCGCCCCAGCAGCAGCAGCAGCCACTGCATCAGGAACAGCGAAATGCGCCCAAGCGCTACTCCAGCTTGCGTCGCTCTCAGCAGGAGGCATCACAGCACTTGGCGGAGCAACAGCAGCAGCAGCAGATGCAGCAGCAGTTGCACCTTCAACAGCAGCAGCAACAGCAGCAGCAGCAACAATCGCAGATCATGATTCAAGACCCACACGTTCTCATGCAGATCGCCTACCAGCAACAGGAACTGCAAGCCCAACTGCAGACCATGCAACTGGGTCCACCCACTGCCGCAGGAGCAGTGCCAACACCACCAAAGCCACATGCCCCACCGGCAGCCGCCTATCCGCAAGCACAGGCGGCTCCGTACTATGTGACCGGAACGGAGCCTGTTCCCGTGCCCGTGCCCCAGGCACCGTATGTGAATCCGGCTAGTGCCGCTTACTTGCCAACCACGCCGGCTGCCGTGGCGTACGCCCAAGCAGGGCCTCCGGTTGTAACGCAACCCACACCGCCGCCGGCACAGGCTCCGCCCGCAGCACAGCCGGCTCAGCCGTATCAGAACTACAACACGGTCGGTGGCACCACCTACTTTGTGCCGCCTGCTCAAACCACTAGCCGACCAACAGCTCTGCCCCAGCGTCGTCCTACCAACGCGATTCCCATTCTGCCGCCCTCCGAAAAGCACAAGGCCAAGGGCGGAGCCAAAGAGGAGGGCATCTCGGACAACATAGATCACATCATTGACAACATGTTCGTGCAGCGACCTTCGGCCTTCCAGGCCACCGGCGAGGGTGCCACTCCAGGTGGGGGAGCAAAGGACGAGGCGGCAGCCACCCCACCAGCTACCGAGCAGAACCTTCAGCCAGTCCCGGCCACTGGGCAGGAATGAGTGCAGGCGTACGCCGGCTTGCCGCCACAGCAGCAGCAGAGACGAGGCCAACGGATAGCACCGCCGCCCTCCTCCGGCTACTCAATGCTGCAGCCGCACGCTGGCTACTATCGACCTCCGCCCCCGCCGCATTAGTGCGGCCGGCCCAGCTCCGAACTCAGCTCATCCGACGATTTTTTTCCCCATTCTGTCCTCGGGTCTGCGACTCCGATGCACTGCATAAATTGTAGACACGCAATGAGAACCATTTGTAATTAGCATTTAGCTCCCAGATAATCGAACTTACTAACGAAAAGTTTTCGTATATAGACGAGTATATATATAAATATATTGTAATCCGACGCAAGCTCCAATTAATTTGTACGTAGTATCTAGGGCCAGCTGCGGCGCTCGCTTAATAAGTCAAAATTGGAAAAGTGTTGAACGTATTGAAGCGGCTGGGCGCTTAGCTTATTTAGCCGCATTTTAGAATTGAAACAAAAGAATTACCGAGAGAAATGTATTTGCATAAACTAATCGATCATTGAATTTAAATAAACGTTTAACACGAAGTTACACATGCTGCACGCCCTTCTGTCACACTAACTTACATATTACCTGCAAAGTCCGCGTTCTCACTTAGTTGCCGATCAAAGGTGGCTTGTATTCGGGATCCAATTTTGAAGAAATAGTATTTAAATGTTCTGTTCGTTAATTAATGCTGCCAATTGAAAACAGTAGTCAAAGTAGTAGAGCGAAATGGAAAAGAATCCAAAAACGAACTTTCTGAACGAACTAAGTTCCAATTAACGACATAAAGTACAATTTGATCGCTTCTTAATACTAGATGAGCTCTTCAAAGCTTGGATTCCTTAGCCAACTGTTCCAAGAGTACGCTGATGCGGCGGAATGAGTCCTTAAAAATGTCGTTGAACTTGCGAGCGCTTGTCTTCAGGCTGTCCCGATAGGCGGTGGTATTAATGAACACCCTAGAATGGGAGAAATTAAGGAACAACTGCCAGAAAGATAGGCATCTGGCTTACGCTTCAGAGGTGATGGAATAAAAGACGCCGTAGCCATCGAAGACCATGGGCGCCACGAAGCCAACGTTGGCGGTGAAGCCCAGAGTGCTGGACGAGAGCACAAAGTTGCCTCCACCGCCGCTCTTGGTGTACATGGGATCGTCGTAGAAGGCGGGAATATCCATTTTGCTTTCGTACGCTGCGCACCACAGGCCAAACAGGTGTCTATCGATGCCATGTCCCTTGCGCGCCTCGTTCATGAAGTGCTTGTGCTCATCGACTGCCCTACGGAAAGCCCTGGCCAGTGACATATCGCCGACCTGCTTGTTGGAGGACGCCCTCAGGAACTCCGCCACGGCGCCAGTGCAGGACCGTAGAGTCTCCGTTCGTCCATTGTAGTACTGTCGCATCAGAGCGGTCTCATAAGTGGGAGCAATTCTGTTGGATACCCATGGAGTAATAGTAATCACTGGTAGGTCCAAAGAAGAACTCACTCTTTATGCATTTGGTAGTAGGCCCACTGCATGACAACCTGCACAAAGGAGTCTGGATGCAGTCGATGGGTTTTCATGAACTCCTTGCCGTAGTCATCGAACGCAGTGAAGGTCACAGTAACGTCGGTACCCTGAGGATGCCATATACCAAAGCATTAATTAGTTCAACAACAGGGATCTGAAAAAGACGTTCTTCTTACCCTATCATCAATATCCTTCTGGACGCGCTTGATCTCGCTCTTGAGCGTATCATCCAGCTGGAAGTGCAGCTCCTTGACCTCTACGACGTGGCCTTTCTCGGCTTCGGACCAGTCGGGCTCTGGCACCTCCAGGAAGCTCAGTTGCATGAAGGTGGCGTAACTGATGCTGACGGTACCATCGTAGCAGCTGTGCTCGCCCGACCAGTTGCAGCGTCCGTTGCGGAAGACGATGATGCTGCTGCTGCGGTCTGCCCAGCGGGAGTGGAGATCACCGAAGAGACCTAGCTGGGAGGACTCCTCGTAGTCCTTGGGTGATTGCTCGTACCAGCAAATCTCCATGCTTGCGCTCTCCACCAGAAGCAGTGTCTCCTTGTTCGCATCTGAGATTTCCCTCAGCCGGTTGCGGTTGCGAGCCCACGTTGACCGTTCGTCATGGCTCAGGGTGGGCACACAATCACCCAACGGCTCGTAGTCGAGGATGCTGCGCAGTCTTTGGATGGCCACAAGGATCTCGGGAGCCGATAGGATGGTGTCGTCCTCGTGCACACAATCCAAGATGAACTGGCGTCCCTTGCCGGAAATAAGGATGTGACTCGGCGTTTTACCCTCGTCTTTGGTGAGAAAATGCTTCTCTATGTGGTCCTGCTCCTCGCCTGGCACGCGGCACGTGGAGAAGAAGCGCTTGTACAGCGCGGAGGAGTACTTTATTTTGCCTCCGTTCGAGGAAAGCGGTTTGATGCTGGACGTTCTGGTCAGATCCCAAAACTCGAGCGTGTGGTGAATGTGCCGCGCCAGACTCTGCGAAAATCATACACTTAATCAGGAAACCCTTAAAACGAAGTGAACTACACTTGCAGATAAGCAAATAAGAGTCCACACGATAACATACAGTGTGCTCGTTGAGTTTGTAATGTCGGCCCACTTACCTTCAGCATGTATTCCGGTGTCTCCGGTACGCCCACCATCTCCAATTGCGCGGGCATGACCATGAGCTGGTAGGGCAACAGGGGCATCCGAATCAGATGATATCCGTAGTCCTCCCACCAGGTGCCCAGCCAGTTCCTCATGCTCCCCGCCCGCTTCTTGAGCTGTTCGTGCAGTTCGGCGCCCACTCCGTTCTGGAACTCATCAATAGTCTTTCGGGCCTGGGCCAACTCCTCCTTGGTCCCGAATGGCTGGATGCAGCTGTAGTAGCGCTCCATGGTGTCCCTAAGCTCCGGCAGCGGGAACGAGGGTAAAGTCTCGTCGAAGTCATAGGTGTTCTTATCATCCTTGCTCATGAAATATAGGCTAGCCCGGTCCATGGTGGGTTATCTGCGGGGGACAGGTTGGAATCGTTGATATTAGTCTGCGCGTGTGGTTGTTTTCTAAAGGCCTATGCCAGATTAGTAATAATCATATCGGGAATCGCTGTCGCGTTCGTCGGGTCCAAAGTTCGCCCAATAAATAATTGGGCACATTCACATCGGAAATAAATTGATCTCAGCTGAGTAAAAATCGTATAGGATACACAATAAAATATCACACGGCTATGCCAACTTAATGTGCAACTACGCGGAGTGTGCGTCCAGTTGAATGCAATCAGTCTGGGACTGCAGTTAGACGACTATCTCCACCAACCTCCACGAGCGGGACAAAGTCCGGATTGGGGAGCTATATAAATATTTAAATTCCCGACGCACTGGTGAAATCATAGGAGCATTTTCAGCCCACTGACCTTTGGACTCGATGGAGAATTCACTTTTGCCGGAGACAACCGAACCGCCAGACTGCCGTTATACGACTGAAACCATGGATTCGCTCCATATCACAGCACACCTCGTCGGCGGAGGAGCACTTGAATTATCGCACCGTGGGATCCGCCACCCGCGTCCACTGACTCAGTTTGTGGTGATATACTACCCAATCATGGCTATTGCAGACAGTCGGCCACCGATAAGGGCCGGTTCCATTTGAATTTGTATATACAAATTTCTAGATTATAAATTCCAGCGGACACACCCACACAAACCTTCAATGAGGCGGCAGTTGAATGTTGGCCCTGAACTTCGGTTTGCGGTGCACTCGAACGTAATTAAAGCGATTCTGCAGCTATCAAGTCCATTTGGCTAGATGATAAGCAGACGATTTAATGGTTAATCAATTATTTTTATTTTTAAATGCTGCGCTTTTGTTTACAAGCGGTGAAAGACCCTATAGGAAATTGGCGCAACAAACACCTGTTTGCAGGAGTTGCCGGACTTTTTGCACTATTTGTTTATACCGTTGTACATCGAAATGCATCATTTCGCATTTTCCGAACCCCATATATAATCAAGCCAAATCGCTGCAGGCAGCTGCCTTATATGCACATTGCAACCTTTAAAAAAATGAATTTAATTAGGCAATAATTGTTTTGTTACTATCTAAAACTGAAAAAATAACAATTTCATTCCAGTCATAGCATCCAAGCAGCCGCCTATCTGGCAACGTCACCAGCAGCTGAAACAGCTGACATCTGACGAAATGAGCGAAAGAGACAGGCAGAAAGAAAAGAAAGAAATTTGGGACGCTTGCTTTTTTAAGCGGCTTTAATAAAAATCTAATCGCAGCAGGAGGTGGAAATGCTGCCATCCACGGGTCTCTTCAAGGGCTTCTTGTGCCCGTACTTTGACGGCCAGGATGCGGCGACCTGCAAGCGTCCCTTTTGTCACTTTAAGCATGCGCGCAAAGGTGAGAGATTTGCGCCCAGTTAATTTCGCAAGAAATTTTATTCCTTTCCGGATTACAGACGAGGTGGAGGCCGCTCAGCCTGCGGAACCCCCTCCAGTGCCGGAGTACAAGCCGGCGCCCAAGCTGCTCTCCCTCCCACTGCCCCACATCACGCTATGTGTGCCCCGGAAGCAGAACAATCTGGAGTACCACCCGGAGAAGCCGGGTCTGAACGCCTCGCCCGCGAAGAAGAAACAGGAGGCGTCCGTGGACAGTGTTCCCAAATATGTACCCGGCCAGCCATCTGCTGCAAATGGTGCAGATGACGATTGGCAGGCGATACTCGAAAAGGAAATTGATGAGCAGATGCAGGTGGAGATTGAGGACCATGACCAGAATAACGACGAAGAAGAAAAGTTGCAAATGACGGTTGAAAACGAGGAGGATGACAATGATGGGCATCTAACGGATGTCAAGCACAGCCACAAAAATGAACAAAAGCCGCGCAAGGAGCGGGAAAGGGATAAAGAAAAGGAAAAGATCACAGACAGGGATCGGGACCGGGACCGGGAAAAAGACAAAGAGAAGAGCAAGGATAAGAACAGACACAGGGACAGGGAAAAGGAAAAAAAGGAAAAGGATAAGGATAAGCGAAAGTCATCCCACAGCGACAAAGAGCGCTCCAAGGAGCGGCATACCTCAAGCTCAAGTTCCTCTAAACACAAGTCTTCTTCCAGCTCCTCTTCCAGCAAAAAGTCATCCAGCAGCGATAAGCACCGTGACGAGAAAAGTTCCAGCAGCAGGCATAAGAGCAGTTCCTCATCATCCGCCTCCAAGAGTCATCACCACAAATCCAGTTCCTCTAGTTCGCGGTCGAAGTCTAAGAGCAGTTCGTCATCCAGCAAGAGCACTGGCACTTCGAAGAGCGAACCGGAGGCGGATAAGGAAGCTGAAGCTGCTACGGTGGCAACGGCAGAAGCAAACGATGATCTGGATGACCTGGACTTTGATTTTGAAGCAGACACCACCGAAGGAGAAATTGTTCGTCAGTGTGAAATGATTTTTGACGAGATGGAAAAAAAATTCGCACAGATGCACAAGGACGAAGGCGGCGACACCAACCCGGAGAGTCGCAAGCGCAAAGCTCCTTCGCCGGACATTGATACCTTCACAGAGGCGGCCACAGCGGCTCTGCAGAAGCGTCGGGTTGCCCACGAGAATGCTGACAAGGTCAAGCCACACTTGGCTCCTTCGGTGGCGATGCGCAAACCCAATCACATCCGTAATGCCATGCAGGCGATCTTCGACCGGCGAGCGGAACTGCGGCGCCAGGAAAAGCTGCAAGCCGAAGCCGCTGCAGAGCAGCTACGCCAGGCACAGGAGCGGGTGCGCCAAGCGCAGGAGGAGCTTCGTCAGGCCAAGGTCAACTCTAACCTCACGCCCCTTATTCCGCGAAGTGCTTTGACCCCACCAGTGCGTTCAGGTGAGCATTCCACTTTGCATCTTCAGACACGTTGTAAAACATTCAAATAATTAAAATTCAAATAATTTGCATTGCCAGCCCGCAGCATAGCACCTGTGGCCAACATTGTGGCCATCGCGCGGGCCAAAAAGAAGATCGAGGAGCTGCAGGCCGAGAAGAAGCCAGCCTTCACGCCAGCACAATCCTTCAAGGGCGCCGGACGAGTGGCCCACAAGCCCACTGCTGCACTAGACAAAACGGCTCCCGAGTCCAACGCGCAGAAGCCAACCGTCCTAGATCCCAGCAGCTCCAAGATATCATACAACGTGCGCATACAGTATTACGAGATGATGGTGAGGCACTGCACCATCATCTATCCGCAGCTGGCAGACGCCTGGGAGCGCGCCCAGGTGGAGGAACTAGCCGTCTTCAAGAAGTGCAACACCCCTGCCATCTACAAGAACAGCTGCATGCTGGCGATTAACAAGCTCCGCAAGGAGGCTATCGAGGCGGGCAACAAGCCCAGCGTGGCCTGCAAGACGGTGTCGCATGAGATGATGCTGGGCGGCAAGCGGGCGCTCACCACATCCTGGAGCGTAGAGAAGAAGGGGTGGGTTTGTACTTTAAACTATAGTTATTGTCTGTATGCACATTATAAGATGGAATTTGCTTTATTGTGAATACTACCTCCGGGCAAAAGCAAAAGCATAAACATAAGTTCTGTTTATGACATAACCTTTGAATGCGGCAGTCAGGAAAGTTAACGTTTTTGGTATTTGCAACTATTCCTAACATCTCAATTGCATATAAACAGTTTTTAACGTATTTAGCTAAACAAACATTAAATATATATATCTTGCAGAAAACTCGGCTCCTTGGGCAATGGCGAGCCATTCGATGCTTTAGACGCTGAGAAAGCATACGAAATGGTCTTCGATCTTCGCCTGACGGAGGAGCAGCTGGTGGAGAACGGCTATCCGCGGCCGGGCGAGAAGCGCGGCTCAGCAGTGATACGTGCCTGCCGGCCCAACCGTCGACCCAACCAGAGTGAGCGCTACTGCTCCCGTTGCGGCAAGGTATTCAGCTTGGACATATACGAGCACCAGGGCTTTGACATGTGTAACTACCATCCGAAGAGCACGGGCTATCGGCGAGGATTCACGGACAACCAGCATCGCTGCTGCCAGCAGCCGGCGGGCACTCCGGGTTGCACCTATGCCAACTACCACGTGAGCGACTATTACGATCCGGACAAGCTCACCTGCTTCGTGAAGACCATTGAGCGCGGTGAGGAGTTAGTGCCCACCAAGAAGGACATATTCGCCTTGGATTGCGAGATGTGCTACACCACACATGGCATAGAGTTAACTCGCGTCACGGTGGTGGACATAAATGGCCGCAGCGTTTACGATGCTCTGGTCAAGCCGGACAACCAGATTGTGGACTACAATACGACGTGCGTGAATGTAGCTTTGTTAGCTTTCGTTTGTTTCATACTAATCTGCAATGCTCTTATCTCAGCTACTCGGGCATCACAGAGGCGATGCTCTCCAACGAGACGCGTAGCATCCGCGACGTTCAGGCGGTGTTGATGTCCATGTTTCATGCCAAGACCGTGCTCGTTGGCCACAGCCTGGAGAGCGATCTGAAGGCACTGAAACTCATTCACGACGTTGTGGTGGACACCTCGGTGCTGTTTCCCCACAAGATGGGACCGCCCAAGAAGCGAGCTCTGAAAACACTGTGCATCGAAAACCTAAAGCGGATTATACAGGAGAATGGTGCGTTTGTCTAGTCTTTTTCTTCATGTGTATTGCTTAAATATCTCCTTCTTCTACAGAGGCCGGCCACGACAGTGCCGAGGATGCGGAGGTGTGCATTCAGCTCATCAAGTACTATCTGCGCAACAAAATCAGTTGAGCTGCTATCGTGCTCCATCGCAAGCATGCAGTTCAAAAGCATTACATACATTTGTTAATATGTATATCATGCCCATCAGAAAACAAAGCCTTAGCCCCTAACTTAAACGTATTTTCTAAAATCAAACTGTATAAATAAATCGCAATGCTATGACGGCGGAAAATGAGTAGAGCTTCCCTCAAGTACCAGTTTAAATTGGAACTTAGAGAACGCTGGAAAGCATGCTACGGATTTGGCGAGTCCTCAGGCTTTCAACCAGGTATATTTGTCCATTTTTCTCTATTTTTGCCTTGCCCATTTTTGCTCGCGTTTTTTCCATTCTCTTCACTATCGATAACAATTCAATGAAAAGCAATTGGAAAGTTTTGTAAAGTTTTTTACCTGCCACCGCGTTACAAACTGTAATTGCAAGTTTCGTGCCTGACGCACATCACAGAATATTCGCTGCCGCCCTCCTGCCGCCCCAATTGACCGACTTGCTTTTGTTGTTATTATTTAAATGTAATTTTAATCAGATTGCGGCGATACTTTATATTTTTCAATTATACTCGGCCTCGTCTGCTGGCCGTGGGCACCATCTGGTTGTCGCTGGATGTTGGCTTCGTGTTCCGCACTGGCGCATGATTTTTCAATTTTAACGTTTTATAATTTTCCGTTCTGCGATCCGGGTAAAGTTTGGCTTATTGGGTATGCAGGCAAAGTTCCAGCACTTAATTCGGCATAATTGTTGCCCCGCCAGCTCCATCGAATGACAGGGGCTGCCATGGGCATTAGGTGGGTTCCCAAGCCCCTTTCCATGGCCCATCATGCGGGAATGGCTGATGGCGACACGTGTTTATCTATTGAGCTGGCACAACACAACCTAACGAAAAGTAAATAATATTAGTGCTACTTGGCAATGACAATGTGCATATGTGGCCCAGCATGAGGAGCAGGCCCAACGGCCACAAGAGCCCACACAAACCAGGATGCGGAAGTGCTGCTTGAGGCTTAGCAGCAGTAGCAGCCGCACTGGAATCACTGCCGCACTGGGAGAAATACCTAGTTTAAAATTATGCTTTCCAAAAACAGAATATTTATTAGTGAGTTCCTTGAAGCTGCCAAAATCTGTATAGATTAGTGCAATATATCCTTTGGTGTTATATTTCAGATGTCTTTAACAAGCACATAACTACATGACATTTTT